TTTTTTTAAAGTGGAAAATGTTCCAGTCTCTTGATGACCAGCATCTGCAAATGTTCAGCTGTGTGCCAGGAAACTTTGGCTAAAGTATATTGGGGTTCTGGATTTTCAGATAACCAAGGGTTGTTTTTATTTACTTTGAGGAAATGTTTCACAATGTTACCCACAAATTATTTGAAAGCCCCGTTCCAGAATCACCATTTCAGTGGAAACATTTACCAAAAGCTTTATTCTTTTATTTTTATATCCTCCATGGATGGCAAACCAGGTGGCTGAGCCATGGTACCATGTGCCTGCTAGTCCTCACCAGACCAGGAGCTAATGCTTGGCTGGGTCTGTGCTGTTGAACGTGGACCAGCCATGGGAACAGCAGAACTTTTGCCTCGGAGAATTGTCACTGCAGTGATGGTACCCAGGTTTTCATGGGTGCCTGGACACGTGTGCACCAGCATCTAACCCCTGCTGGCACGCTGGGAGGGTTGGAATGCAGATCTCCAAAGAGAGACAGTACAAAGATTTTGCTGGTGTGCAGAGCTGGCCGGATGACCGAGAAACAAAGGCCTGGAGGTGGTATCTGTGCCCCTAAACTCACAGGGTCAGGATACGAGCACTGGCTGGCCATTGATGAAGTTGCTTGATCATTAGCACATTCCTTGACCACCTCTGTACCTATGACTGCTGTCCCAGCAGTGCCCAGGTACAACATGGAATAACATTGCTAGGGACCTGTTGCAGGAGTTGGGATGGATGAGACCCTCTCTGTTTTGAGAAGAGGAAGTGAATTTGGCTGTGTGCATTATGCCAGCTGCTGTAGGGCTAGAAAATGGGCTCTGTTCTGCTTATTAGTATAGAAGTACCCTAAAGGTTGCCTTAAATCAAGATGCAACCTGATCTAGTGGAAGGTGTCCCTGCCCATGGCAGGGTGGTTGGAACTAAATGATCTTTAAGGTCCCCTTCCAACCCAAACCATTTTGTGATTCTATGTAGGAATCCATCCTCAGAGGAGCAGCATAGAGAGGAGGGAGACTTGTAGGGGTCACACTGAAAAAGAAGAAATTGAGAGAAATTTTGTCTATCTGCTCACACCTCCCCTTAACATTCACAGAGTGAGAAATTTCCTGCAGGTTTATCGCTTCTCGTGCCACTGGGGCCTGAGCCCTGTGTTTCTGCCAGGGCTCAGAGGAACAGCACACCTTGACGTCATGTCCTCCGTTCGGCTCTGTGGCGACATCATCGCAGGGCTGGGCTCTCCGTGGCTGCAGCTGTGAGCGTGGGCGGCTGCCAACAAACCCTCCCCAGCTCTGACTTTTGAGGGGCTTCTATTATCCATCAGCCCCTCTGCTTGATGCTGATTGGTGATGGATAAAGTTTTGGGAAGGACCTGCTGGGGCAGGAAAAGGGTGAAGCCAGGGAATGCAGAGACTGAGGGGAGCCAAGCCTGGCACAGGGGAACTGGCTGTACATGCAACACCATGAGCTCTGCACATACTGCACGAAAGACACTTCTTAAATAAAAATAACAGAAGGGAACATGAAAGACCCCAGTAGATGCCAGCAGTGACTATAAGTCTCCGTGCTGGGCTTGTTCACCCTGCTCGGGACATGCTGTGCTGTAGTCTCAGATATGTGGTTTTACATTAGTGTGTGTAACATGGAGCAGGAATCCCTTCCCAAAGCACCTTGCTGCAAAGGGTAACCGAGGTCAGATACTCAGCTGGTGCCAATCTGCAGAGTTTCTCCAAGTTCAGGAATCCTGACTAGAGCTGCTGAGATCTGGCCAGCATTCGACTTATAAAGAAGTGCCTCAGAGCCTACCTAATCCCTACTAGGTCTGAGGACTGATGCTGACATGTAGTCCTGTAGACCCCAGGAGGACAGTCCCTTGGGGGTCTCCTTTGTCTGCCTGGTGCTGCTGCTGTTTCTTGAGTATTAGGTCAAGCACAAAGAACATCTGTGACTTGTCAAGCAGGCACATCTGGGCTCATCTGTCCATGTGTTCCTGTCTCCAAGTGGGTAAAGCAGAATTACCTAAGGTATCCAATGCGCCTTGTGTTGCTCCCACTGTGAATGAAGCCATTTCTGTGATTCTAAGCCTCCCATTGAGTACCACAGTTGCTCTTTCTCTCCCTGGCCCCTGTTTTCCATTCCCCCTCCAGCAGCAGCACTGAGATTGCCTGAGTTTTTGTTAATGGGGCAGGATAGGGCTGAAAGGGTCCTATGAAGGGATAATGAACCTTGGGCTCTGGAGCTCCACTCCCACCACTTCTTTGTGTTTCTCCCGGCCGGATAGGCATGCATGGATATGAAGCAGCAGCAACCAGTGCTCCTGGAGGTGGGAAGCTGCATAAAATACTTTGAGCAGCTCTTCTACCCAAACAGCCTGACTGAAAGGGATCTGGTTCAATCCAGCAGTTTCCAGGCGTGCAAAAGTCTGAGCGTTTTGTTTAACTTCCTTGCCTGCTGGGAAATGGCTGGTGTCTTATCCTCTTTTACAGTTTTTGGCAGGAAATGCGACTCTGGAAGGTCAAACACAACTGACCTGATGACTGGGAGTAGTTGTTACAGGCAAAGGCTTAATGTGAGATCATGCAAAGTCTTGACGCTTGGGATAAATCTCATTTAACTCCCTGAGTTCAAAAATCAAACAGACCATGTACAACTCTTTGTACAATCTGAGGTGAAGACTTCCTGGGCAATGAGTGGGTTGTTGCAGCAAGAGATCTCAGCGCTGCATGAGCAGACCCATACCTCATCGTGGCAGTAACAAAAATGCTCAGCAGAGCTAAGGTACAGTGGTTACACCATGCCAAGTCCTCTAGCAGCTTTTTGGAGCAAGACCCACCCTCATGTCTTCATGCGGCGTTCTGGATTGACATCTGCTAAGCAAACAAGGGGATGATAGCACAGTGATTTCTCCAGGGTGCCCAAACTGTTAAATGGTTAAATGTTTGTTTATTTATCTTCAAAGAGAGGATGCCGTACTTCCCAACTGGTTTTGTTTTTAGGGCTGGTGGAAAGCCAGTTCATTATGAGCGCCGCAGCACTCGAGAGATTCTCCCCCCTTGATCTTGGCGTTACTTCAGTTGGGGTTTTTTCGTTGTGTTCTTATCCTGCAGGAAATCTGTGAAGGAGAAAATAGGAAAAAAAAAAAAGTAACTCAAAGCCATGTGACTTTTATTTTTACAATCCAAGCAAGGAGTCTGGAGGGAGACGTGCTGTGGCACAGAGATATCTGTGTATTTGGTATAAATCCAGCAAGCCTGATTCAGTGATGTTTAATGCTGGTGTGACACTGTTAACGTTAGGGTATCAGCTGAAGTGAAAGGTGGGGACTTGGATTTGTAGCGTTGACCATGCATATGGATTTATGCCAGAGATCAATCTGGCACAGTAACTGTGATGCAGAGTAGCAGCAGAAGAGGCAGAAGTATTGTGCTGATTGATCAGTGTTGACTTCTCATGATGGGATAGGCCCCTTCCCAGTTCCTTTCTCTTGCAATATCATGCTTAGCCTGGGCATGTTGTTACCAAATGGTACTAATGAACCAAAGAGTTGGCAAGAGTGCTGCAAAAATGGATGTGAAGTGTAAGGAAATGCAACTCCATGTGCTTTCTGACTCTTAAAGGATGTGTGCTTTTTAGAAGTCTGCTTAAAAACAAGTTGTTGTGCGAAGGCTCACATTGCACAATACCGACCGGTTAAAGCTCCAGCACGGAGCAGCACGGACCTCCGTCAGCAGTTCCTTGCCATGAAGTGATGACAGCCCAGGGATGGAGGGGAGGGACCGCAGAAAGACAAGCGGAGCCAAGCCTCGTGCATCTGGGCCAAGTGAGGGCAACGCTCCTTGCATCCTGAAAAGGCACAAGGAATCGATTAGGGTGGATTTAGGGGGATAAGGGAGAAGAACGTTGATGTCAGGAAGCTGTGGGGTTCTCTCCCAGGTGCAAAATAGAACCCCCCGTTTGCTGAACAGGCCTGGTGGGGTGCCTGCGACAGCCTTGCTCCCTGTGCCGAGGTGCACAGGGTGTGCTGCAAAGCCTCAGGGGTTTCCAGGTGGCTCTGCCTGGTGCGGAGGCTCTGCCAGCTGCAGGTGTAGAGCCTCTGGGGCTACAGACAGGGGAGATGACCCTCTCTTGGTAGATGGGACAAGATGATCCCGTAGGTCTTTCCCCTCCCCATGGTTTTTGGATTTGAGGACTGGTTTTCCTTCTTCTTTCGGATAGGGAAGGGGGAGAGAAGAGGGATATTTGAGTGAAAATTGCTTTCCATATAAGAAGTGTTTAAGTGATGTTGCACCGAGTTCACCCAGGCTGTTTCCCAGATCTCTGAACAAGGCAGTGACGTGATCTAGGGAGTAAATACCTGGAGGTCAAAGAGGAGGTGGGTTTGGAGTTTGCATTTTGCTTTGACATTGCCTGGTTGTATCATAACAAAACTCTGGAGCCTGTTTCTTTTTGGTGTCAACAGAGCACCTGGATAAAATACGTAGCTCTCAAGATCCAGGGTAGGTTGAAGGCCAAGTCTGCTAGATGTTGTGCAGCCCCACAGTAACAAACTGTTCCTGTTACAAAAGCTTTGCAGGATGCCCATAGACAGTATTGGATCTCTAGCTCCTCTGTTCCCTTCCACACAAGTTCAAACCCAGCAGGATCTCCAGGAGGTCTGCGATCACTGGAACTGCATCTCTGGAAGGACTTGAATGTGGCAGGTCCTCTCCTTGACCCATGCCTTTCCTGTGTCCTAGGCTCTCTGCACACTGGCCGGAGCTCTCCACCCCCAGGGAGTGTTCCCGAAGAGCAGCAGCAGATTGCTCGCCAGGGATCCTATACCAGCATTAACAGCGAGGGCGAGTTCATCCCTGAGACCATGGATCAGAACGTAAGTGGGGCTGGGGCGTGTGAGTTAAACTGGGAGAACATCAGGCACGAGAAAGGCTGTGCTGTGAGTGCACATTCCCACCATTAAATCCCCAGTGGGCCCTGTGTACAGGACTCACACCAGCTTTTTCCAGGAGTGGGTGCCTCTGGGCTTGACATGCTCAAGAAACCGTGGGCCTGATTTCCAGGAACCCTAAAAGCCAGCTGCAGTGGTGATGGCAATGTGCTCAGGCACCTCAGGTGGCTCTGGAGGAGCATAGATCTGGCACGCACATGCATGCCAGCTGCCAGGCCCTCGTGGCTGCAGCCTTCCCGGATCCTGGGGACCACGAGGGAGTATGCCAAGCAACCGATTGCCTGCGATTGCAACAGCCTGGGGATGTCAGCAGCTTTCACTGCTTCCCATGTGCTGTTTCTGCCTCAGCTCCAGCTACAGTTCTTGGCTCTGCCTCCAGCCTTTCTCTGGGTTTTTTTCTTTCTGTCCCTCCCCCACATATATATATATATATATTTATTTCCCCCCCTCCTCTTTTAATAAGGAGTTTGTATATTCCAATCCCTCAGTAATAAAAGAACAGCTAGTTCTTCAGCACGGTGATGAGCAGTATCTCTTCCTCCAGTCAATTTGGTACCCACGATGGGGGAAACTCTGGACTGTTGAGGGATCAGACCAGATGCAGCTTACACCTCCCTCTCCTTTTGCATCTCTGCTCAAGCTATAGCTCCGAAGAGCTTAGTATAGGTCCTGTAAAGTCTGCTGGGCTAACTGGGCACATAATTCATCCTTGCAAAGCTCTTGGAAGGGCAGGACCAGGATCCACAGTTTGCCGGAGGGCTGGCCATGCAGGAGGGACATGGAGGGGCATCCAGAAGGCACTAAGCTCACTCCAGCAGGCTGCTGTGATGGCCCCCAAGGATCTTGCCTAGGAAGATGTGCATTTCCTACACTCAAATAGCACCCACTAGCTCTGCTTTTGTGTGCAGGTTGTGCCAGTGTTTCCATGGCAAAGTTGTGTTTTCAACAGTTTGCTATATAGCCATTAATAAAACAAGAAGTCGCTACGGGTGAGTCTTGGCAGTGTCGGAGTGCAGATGTATCTTGTGCTTCTTGCAGCCAAAAGTTGGCTTTCCATTGTTTTCACATGCCTTCCAAACACATTTGGTAAGATTAAGGCAAACTGTGTGCGTGCAGGGGGAGGGTCCACAGGAACCCCCTCTTGGGTGTAAATCAGTGCAGCTCCACTGGCTGTTAGTGGAGCTCTGTTAGCACTAGCTGAGGTCTGAGCTGCTCCTGATGAAGATTCCCAGATGCTCTCCTTGCTTTTCCCCAGCATCACACTGTGGGTGGCCTGCTGCCCTTCTCTGGCGAGTTAAATGCAGGAAAAATGGGATTTGGAGATGTTGAGTATTTTTCCTCTTCTCATTGAGCAGCCATACTTTTCCCCATATGGACTTTGCCCTCAGAGTGCCTCGTGGAAAACCGCTTGCAAGCTAGTGCATGCTGCCTTTTGGGGGATGTCCCTGTGCAACCCTGTGATATCACTGCGGTCTTTGCCTTGAGACCATCTTGGCAGGTGGACAGAGGTTGAGTATGGAGCCTGCTTGCATTCCCAATTCTATGCCTTTGAGAAATTAATCCATTCCAGCATTATTTTAACTGCTGGGAGAGAACTGGCATGACTGGCAGAGGTGGGGAGTGGGGTCTAGCAGCTGGTGTACTTTGGCTGGTGCACTTTGAAGGATGAGGCTTTGGGGTAAAAACTCAGAAGAGGAGAAAAAGCTCCCTTTCCAGTTGGGACTCTCCTGCGAAAACAATGTGAGCTGTTACTACAACCAGTTGAGGAGGTCTAACGCAGGAATAGCACATGGAAAGGGAGGCTGTTCCTGTACATGGGGAAGGAGAGTCTGGGAACCAGCGAAGGGTGGCAAAAGGTGATGCCATGTGATGTTTAACCCTTGTTGCTCAGCTTTGCTGGGAATGAGCTGAGCTTGGGGCTGGCTGTGGAGTAGGGGTTAGCCAGTGTCCACAGTGGGTCTGCAGCCAGGGGGAAGCATCATACTGTCTGCAGCACAGCGTGGTCCTGAGCAAACTCTGCTCCACGTAGAAGTGCACATGGCCCCTCGGTTTGCCACTCAGTACAAAACCTCTATTGTTACTAACCAGCTATAAATAACCTCATCCAGTACAATGTCTCATCCAGGAAGCAACACAAATGCAGCTTTTGACTCACTGAGCTAGTGAGAGCCAAGCCAGCTCCTCCAGCCAAAAGCCCTGATGATGCTTCTCTTATCACCGGAGAGGAAGGCTGGTTTTGTGTGCCAGGGCAGCTCGGGGAAGTCAGGAGTCCAGGGCTGTGATCCTGGCTGCGGTGCACAATATCCACTTGGCCTTGGGCACATCGTTTTTATCCTGATCTATTTTTTATTATTTTTTCACAAATACTTGGAGCACTTTGAATCTCGTTGACTTGTCAGTATGATTTGAACATCAGGGTGCTAATTACCTTTGCCTTGATTTCCCTACTAGCAAATAGCTAGTAATGGATTTCCACTGGGAAGAAAACTTTTGTTAGATTGTACCTCATCTCTGCCAGGGCTGGCATCAGCTGGTGTAGATCAGCTGGCTTCAGTGGAGCCTTGTTGACCCTGCGGAGGTCTGCTAGTACTGGAGCTTTGAAGAGTGTGTGGTTTTATTGTCCAGTGTGTGGTTTTATTGTTTTCCTTTTTCTTTCACTGTCAGATGCTTGAAGCTTTCATCAGCCCTGATGAGTCGCTGTCTGGAAGCTGCCAGTCGCTGGACAGATCTGTGGACAGGTGGGTCATGCGTGTCACCATGTTCACAAGCTGTAATGCAGCCTCTGCTCCATAGCAGGAGCATAGAGGAGCGAGGTCAGTGGCATCCTCTGTTCCTGTTGGGATGAGGATGCACCTGAACAAAGCAAATTTCTCTTGAATGCTGAAAAGCAGATCCTAGCGCAGAAATGTGTGCCACGGTATGATTTGAATTGCAGTAATCTGAGCTGGACAGAGTAACTGGGGGTCTGCAGACAGTCTGGCTTTGTGTGCCCAGGTTTTCTGCTTCAGTATGATCCTCCTCATACCCCTCTGGCTTTCTGCAGTCACCAGGTCAATACTCCATTAGCCTCTCCATGCCTCCTTCTCCCCGGGCACGCTGTCTGCTCTCCATTGACCACTTGTAAATTCGGCAGCCCCTGTGCGCTGCCAGCAACCACAGACGTGTCAGTCAAGGTGCTGAGGACACCAGACA